CGCATGGCAAAGCATTGTGACGCACTGCCCTGCATTGTGATACGCTGTGTTGGAATTAAATATACGCCTGTATCATTTTAACACAACACAAAGACCAATGCAGTGCACACATTTTTTTTTTTACATAAGTCGCTTATTTACAGTTTTGCGTTCCTTCATTTTTTTTCCATTTCGCAAAAAGACACAATTTAAAATTTACAAATATTTGTTATTTATTAACTCAATACCGTTTTATCTTTTAGATTTAGTCAGAAAAGTATTTTTTGTGCACTGATACTGATTTTAGGGCTTTTATCCATTTAATTGTGTCGTTTTATGGGTTTAATATTGAATTGATAAACATTTGCGTGATTATCCCAGGGCCTACAAATGTAGTAGCACCATCTTTTTATTCTACCGGGCCTGCGCTTTCAGAAAATATATGGTTTGGGGGATCTTTTACAAACGCTAGCAACGCAGAAGTAACAAATCAAAACAATGGGAAAAATTACAAAAATGGTGTGGCCAGCTGAGGTGTAAAGCGTTCCGGAGGGCTTGGCAGCGAAAGGGTTAAAGCAAACTTGTACTGTGTTCACACTAGACAAAGTAACTGTCCACTTGTTAAGGAAGTAAAAACTTAGGGCTCATTTTCTTTCACTCTCCGGGGTTGATTTACTAAAGGCAAATATCCTGTTTGCAAATATGCTGTTCTCTTTGCAAAGTGAATTTGCACTTTGCAGGGGATGTCTCTCCTTAGTTTAGTAATTCAGGTAAAGTTCTGCTGACTTCCATCATTCAATCACGTGATAGCAAAAATATTGTTTTCTTTTACATTCCTAGCCCTTGATTGCATTTTCTTTGCAACGTAACATTTCTCCACATTCACTAAGCTAAGGGAAACTTCCCCTGGAAAGTGCAAATTCCCTTGCAAAGTTAACAGCCTTTATGCCTTAGTGAATCAACCCTTACACGACAGGGCTTGGCCAGGTGATTGTCCATAGCAATGAAACAATTAGAACTTAAACCAAAACCATTATAGATTCTCTTTAATGGCAATGGGAAATATATACAATATATTTAGTTAGAATTTTTTTTTATTGGTAAACATTTTTTTTATATTTAAAACGTTATATGTGACTTGCCTCAGTTCTGTTCAATGTATATTACAGAAAATGCTGGATACAGCCATTTAAAAAGCAAATACATTACATACAGACATTCAGAATGTGTCTTGCAATTTACTGTATAAGAATTTCATGATTGGTCCAAATGTAAAAATCTTCTCTACTTTTGGTCACCATAAAGTTCACAAAACTTTGTCAACATTTTTACATTTACCCTTTTGTTTCAATTAAAGAAACCTGCAACTTTGCTATGTATAGGGCAAAGTACAGGTTTAAGTCTACTTTAAATGGTTTCCAATGGAGCAAGGGTTGGCAGCGTTATCAAGAAATAGAAATGGGGGCTGAAGAGAACATCTACCTGGAGTAGGTAACCAAATTCTGGGTTTACATAAATCATATGATTGTCTATTACACTCCTTTGAAAAGAAAATAGTACAAATACATAGCTGCAATGTAACCCAAGAGCAAGTACATGTTTATTTTAATTTAATGGGTATTCCAAAATGTAGAGTATTTTGCAACTTTGTACCTGCTTTGTAGCTGTGCACAATACTGATCCTTCTCTCAATGCAGGTCTATAAGTTGGGACTCATTGAAAACACTTTTTTAGCTGATGTCTTATCTTAGCCATTACTTAACAGAGGTACAGGGATTCCATCAAGATCTCTATATTTAAAACCCATCTCCTCTTTTGTTGTTTTCTTTTAACCACCTACCCCATTACAGCAACACTGTCAAAGAAGATGAGGAATATTTATCTGTCCAGATGGGGGCAAGCACAATCTCTGCTCACCACATGAACTATATCATGAACTATGGCCACCACAAATTTTTGTAACAATTGTGTCCCTTTTATGTATCAAGAACATCTCTCTGTTTATGTGGGAAAGGAGGTTTTCAGTCGTCATTTCAGAGACATGAGAATGCTCTGCAAGCACAATAATAATGTGTGGTAGTCCATAGATTCCAAATACTGATATGGTGTTTAACATTTAAGCCCTATTTACCTATTTATTTATGTAGTAGTGAGTGTTACCAATCAACCTCTTTTACACAACTGTAATTAGGATATCATAATGTCACGTATGGTTGCACAGATACCAAGTACAGTACTCGCTACAAGTACGAGTACAAGTACCTATACTTTTGAGCTCCAAGACTAGACTAGAGAAAAATTCAAAAATTAGGAGGCCGCTGTCAGGAGCCGCTGTAAGGAGCACACGGAGCTCCTGGGATTTGTACATCTCTGTTTTAATGTACGATTTGGCGCAAACTGTTGGCGCTATATAAATCCTGCATAATAATAATAACAAAATATGGGTACTATTGTGTAGGCCTCCAGGCTAACCTAGAGAGGTGTATTTAAGGTGGCATGTAGTAAGGTTAGCTGGGAAATTTAAGCTGAGTGATATTGGATTCAGAGGTGAGGGGCTCCCAGTTATGTTGGGGTGAACTCTGTGCCAGCCCTAAATGAAAACTTGTTCCAAATAGCCATTGACATACTGTAACTATTAACATTAACATATTTTCTATATGTGAAGGAACTTAAAAATATTTAGTCCTGAACACTTCCAGGTTTATAGTTCTGAACACTTTCAGGTTCACTTTTACTGCAGTAGTGTCTTGGAAACGAACCGGTTAGTAATCAGTTAGACAAGTATAGCAGTAACTGTATTGAGAAATAAAGACAACAGACACACCAGTGTCAGTCATCAAGATATTTCTGCTTTATTCAATAACGAGTCTCCTTATATACATTGAAGCGCTAAATTGCATACATGTTACATAGTCAGTCAGGTTGAAAAAAGACACATGTCTATCGAGTTCAACCTATAGAGCTATAGAAAGAAAAGCCTAAGCAGAACGCTATGTCCACAGTTACACCCCCATAAAGCATGGTTCAATTTTCTCCAACAGGGGGAAAAAATCCTTCCTGATCCCATAAGGCAGGAATACATCCAGATTTTTTTTTTTAAACAATTAACTGAGCTAGCTAGAACTAGCTTCTGGGGGAGTCCATTCAACATTTTCACAGCTCTAACTGTGAAGAATCCTTTCCATATGCAAAGGTTGAAGGGGTTCTAAACCCTCTGTTTTTTAGGCCTATATCTACTGCTAGCAAGCAATAGATATATGCAAAAAAAATTTTAAAAACCCGCTTTAACATCGGTTTAAACTTGCCCGAGAATCCGATACTGCTCGGGCGGCCGCAAAGCATCTTGCGGCGGGCACATGCACAGTTCGGATTCTCGGCCGGGAGATGAGCAGAGATGCAAGGTAAGTCTATGGACACGTGCACCCGCATGCAGACACCGCGGGATCGGAAGTGCCTGCAGAGACAGAGGAGTCAGCGCTGGATTGGAGACCCGCCGCACCGCTGGAGGGACAGATGAAAACATCAGGAAAGAAGAAGAAGAAGATCGGATTAAGAGACATCATTTAAGGTAAGTGCTGACATTAACATGGTGGGAGGGAAAAAATGTTTGACTTTAATGTCACTTTAAACCTCTTTTCCTCCAGACGCAAAGAATCTTGTCTTGAATTGTATTGTGACTGTAATGTCTTCCTTATATTGTAAAGCGCTGCACAAACTGTTGGTGCTATATAAATCCTCTATAATAATAATAATAAGTTCCCCCTTGTCCTTTGCAGTGACCTTAAAGTGAATAATTTGGCACTAAGCTCACTATATGGACCATTTATGTATGTATACATGGTGATCATATCCCCCCTTAATCGCCTCTTCTCCAGAGAGAAACAAGACAAGATCCTTATCAGCTTATACCAGACTTAGAACAAAGACCCATGACAGGATGACACCGGACTTTGGGGTTTAACGGTCTGTTACAGTCTTGAGAAACTGTCAGCCCTGATAACAGGACAATTTATGTCTTTTAGACAGTCACAATGTATATACAGAAAAGGAGAGGGTATCAGCCTCTCCTCCTATGAAATATAAAATTAATTCATTATAAGATACAAAATGGAGGTTATAAAACAAAATGGAACCTAGAAAATACACATTTCTACTACAGTGGTGGGTATAGACTATAAAGGTGATTGTCTGCATGTGCCTGATCTTTAACTGTATACAGGGGTGACATCAGGGGTCCATTTTGCCCCCTCCCAAATTGTACTGTAAGGTCATTGTGGGCCAAAAAAGGGGCCATTGTAGGAACTGCCTGGAGCAGAAGCTTATGTAGAATTGCTCCAGTTCCTACACTTTAGTTACTTGCCAATAATAATTCAAGCTCCTTCTGTATTGAAATAGTGACACTGAACTTTGTGTGCAATACTAACCTTTAGCGCTAGGTGTAAATGTCACACTTTTAAAACTGACCTCAGCTCAGCATAGTTAAAAGGAGAAACTTGTACTACCCCCTATAATCTTTGTTAACTAAAACACCATTCTGAATCAACTGTTTTAGGTACAGGCACACTTTTCTAGTTATGCTAAAAATTTGTTGACCGGCATCTTCTCGCCCATTCCTGTATTTGTAGAACAATATATATATATATATATGTATATTTCCCACTTTGTGCGCCGAATATTTTTGAATGCACAGTTAGGGGTTGTATGTACAGTTTTTTCTTTTATCCTATGTCTAAAAACATGTACATAACATTTGTCAGTTTTTCAGAACAATTTTCCAGTAAAAAAAAAAACCATTCAAAGAAATCTTCACCTCCTAATGTCATATTGAAATGGGCGGGCGTTTCACGTTATAAAAAACTAGAGCTTCTATCTTGTTTGCAATTTGTCTTCTCTTGAGGTTTCATTTTATAGTAGCCTATTTTATAGGCTGCAATGTATTCTAGCCTACAAAAAAATGGCCGCCATCGGAACCCTATCCTGGACAGTTTTAGTTTCCTGCTACAGAGCTCGAGGTGCTCAGGCATAAACCGAGAGATCATATGTGTGGAGGTATGTTCGAATGTGTTATTGGTTTAATGTCAATGAATAAAAGCAGAACAAATCTAGCAGTGCTAGTAGTGAGTGTGTATTAACAGAAGACGTTCGTTTATTAGATAGTAGCTACCTAAGAAGTAACAGCGATTGTCAAATACTTTGCTTACTAGATCTCAGATTTTACTGCCATCACTTATTATGTACAGATAGGTTCTAAGAATACTTTACGGTGCTTTAAAAAGGTGTAACTCTCTAAGGTGCTGTCTACAACTATAGAATGTGGAAATGCTTGAAACAGTGTTTGGTGCGCTGTGATGTAATTATTTCTTAATGGCACCCTGCCACTGTGCAACACTTACCATGTGTTGTGGTTAGATGCGATTAAAAAAAGCACTTTCTTGGAATGATTTAGATCGGGGGCGGGCAAAGTCCTCCAGCTGTAGTGGGACATTGCAATATTCTGACAGCCACAAGCATGACTCACACACAGATGAATCATGGGATTTGTAGTTTTACCACAGCTGGAGGGCTGCTTTTGATGCTGTAGGCAGCCTATTCAAATAAATAGGGTGCCTTACTGCAGGGCACCGTAAGGCATGTAAAAATGCGCTGCTATGCACTTGTGATATCACATCACACAAAAATTTGGGTTATGATAAATGTTTCATAACATAACGTAGAGAAAACTGGGTTTTTTTTTTCTGTACTTTTTTCGTTATATAGTAAAAAATAAAAATCCCAGTGGTGATTAAATACCACCAAAAGAAAGCTCTATCTGTCCCCCCAAAACATGGTATAAAATGAATTTCAGTACAGCGTTGCATGACGGAATAAATGTCAGTCAAAGTACCGCAGCTCTGATAACTGGAAAATGGCCTGGCCAGGAAGGGGGTGTAAACACAGCGGTCAGCAAGTGGTTAAGAAAGACGTTTTGGACCCCACTGCTCTCTACCCCTCCTGGCTCCTCCCCACTGGCTTTCTCTCCTTCGTCTCACCCTACCTACCCTTCCTTTTTACCCTAACCCATACCCCCCCCACCCTATTCTCTTCCCATTGTTACCATGCACAAGCAAATCCTTGTTCTAAACGATCCTGAGCGATAAGAATTGCCAACAAACTCAAGTGTGCTTAACGTTGCCAATTGTTCTTGTATTTAAGGCCACATGGGACCCACACTACCTAAATACCTGATTTCCAATTGTATTGACCATGTTGGTTGCATCGTTCTGCTTACTGTTTTTCATTATACCGCGTAAGGTCACCGTGGCCACATAACGTCTGCTCTGCTGAGCTGAGCAGCCTTCTCATGTCCACACTACATGCAATGTGACAATTGTATCTTTCTACCCCAGATGTGTACTGGGGATGCTGTTATGTTGTTGAGGCACTGGCTCCTTGTATCATGCCTATGTACAATAAAGTTGACTTTTGATAAAAAAAAAAAAAAAAAGAAAAACGTTTTGGCTCCAGTTGGACCTCCATGCACATCTTAAAATACTGCTAGTATAAGTACCAGATTATTATTTTTCCTTTGCTATGATCACAATAGGCACTTTTATTTTTATATACAGGAAAGAGCATTTGCTGAATTATGTCTTGTTATGCGTGAGACTTTACATACTGGTCTGACATTTACCATAAAAGATGTGGCGTAGAAGAAAGCTGGCCAAGAAATCCCAGGTGGGATTGGAAGAGTTAAGAGTCCAACGCAGAGAACGAGAAACAGGTGATGGGCGCAGAGGGGTTTTGTGTGTTTTTTATGAGATTTGTTGAAATATGTAACATTTTGGGTTATTTATCAGAACAGGAACAGATGCATCATCTTCCAATGGGGACACTAGTTTTGGTGACTCTGTTGACCAGCAGGGATTTCCTCTCACTTTCTGTTGTGGCTATTAGATGGGAAGTAAAGGGAAATCTCCCAATTGGCACACAGATGGCAAAAAAAGCTGACAGAGGTTATAACCCTCCCATACTCTATCCAAAACAAAACAATTTGTCTGCGTCAGTCAAGGTGAACAGTAAGTCTGCTCAGTCATGTTGCATTCAAGTGGAATTCCATATAAAACCCTGTTTGTTTTAAATAGAGTAGAGAAGAGTTAGAATATTGCTGTTGGGGAAAAAGGAAATTGGAATGTTGCTGTTCTAGTCTGTAGTCGTGACTTTACTATGCTTGGTAACAATAAAAATATTTTTGTCTGAATAGTCCTACGGAAAGCACGAAGAGAACAGCAGCTGATAAGCAAAAGGTTACTGCGGGATTCAACCGATGATGAGTCATCCGTGGAAGAAAATCCGCAGGACCACTTCCTCTCAGAGCAGCAGGTTCGCTAAGCCATTGATGTCCTGAATGTCCAGGAACAATATTTAATTTTTCAAGTTTTGTTTAAAGCAAACCTGTAATTGTAAGGGTACAATGTAGACACGTGATAGTGCAAGCTCATACCCTTTCCCCTGATCCCTCAAGTGCCAGTGGTGTCCTGAATCCTGAGCCACCCTTGTTTACAATTGACTCATCTCCTTCATCCTCCTGAATGTTTCTACTGGCCATTAAGGCTGCCCATCCTAGTAATGGTCCAAAAGAACATGAGCAAAGAGGGGTGGGAGCCAGGCTTTAATTTGACGGAGTGTTGAAACTGGCATCTTACACTGGCAGAGCAGACTACAGCAACTGTTCATCTACTAGCTTGGAGAAGGGAAGGGAGTAGCTTGATTTCATGTGTTTGTGGAGACACAGACAGCTTACTAGCACACACAGGGGTGGCTCCATCTGCAAGGGAAAGGAGGCATTCTAAAACAGGCTATCAGGGCCAGAGTTAAGGGGACCAGCTGATCATGCAGGAATCTAAAACTTTTAATTATCAAGGAGCAGCATCCTTTGTAAGTGCTGTAAATGCTGTAATCAGCATTTGAAATAGATTAAAAACCTTTTGCCTGTAGTATCACTTTAAAGTGACACTAAACTCAGGAGTTAAATCTTAGAAATACATTCAAGTACCATAACTATTAACAAAAATGTATCTTATTTGTGTATCACTCGGCTGTAGATCCTCAAATCATCTCTGAATGCATGCTGACACTGTCCTTCCTTTTGGAGGGTGGCTACTTTTGTTTCCCATGGTCCTTGTGTGTTGTAACGTAGCCACCGCTCCAAGCTCACTCTCATGATGGACTACAATCTCAGGTTTAGTTTACTAATTTGTATTGAGATAGTAGCGGTGGCTACTTTACAACCAGGGAGGACAAAACTAGCCACCCTCCAGAAGGAAGGACAGTGTCAGCATGAATTCAGAGATGATTTGAGAATCTACAGCTGAGTGATACACAAATAAAAGACATTTTGTAAATAGGTTAGGCACTTGAATGCATTTTTAGGATTTAACTCCGGAGTTTAGTGTCACTTTAAGAAAATAGTGTATATGCCTTCATCTGAAATACCACACTCCATTTCATAGCAGTCATCAGTGTTTTATTCACTCTTAAAGGTACACTTGAATCATGAAACTTTTAACTCACAAATTTCTTTTATTAAGGTTTTTGGGTAAAACAACAAAACAAAGTAGACATAGAATCTTGAAGGATAATCACTGTTACAAAATCATGTAAGTCAGATTAACTTATGGTGATAGTGCTTGCGACATATCCGGTACATTCGATGCTCACGAAAAAGGGATAAAACAACGGTACATGTCACACAACGGGTGCAAAAAAAAAATAGACAAAAAACAAAACAATAGAAAAGACACAATATTAAGAGATCAAAGGGGGGGGAGGGGTGAAAATAGAGGAAAAGAGAAGAATAGAAAAAATATCAGGGAGGTATCCGAGACACAGCGACGGGGATCCACTTTGCGATAGTGACCCTCGGCTAAGGAGACTCAGAAATGTGATCATGAAACTTTTAGATTTGCACACACTTTTGCATAGTAGTAGTAGTAGTAGTAGTTTCATACTGGCACATATTATGTGCAGATGCCTGCCTCCTTTGCTTTGCCTTGAATTGCTTGGAATCTGAGTCTGCAAAAATGTGCCACCCTGGGTAGTTCTTAAAAAGTAGCTGTGAGGATACAAATCTAGGAGCTGCCATTGTGGACTTTTTTAAAGATGGAGGCTGTCATTCTGATCCTGGCTTCACTTACTAGTGCATTACTGATCTGGAGCAAGCATGAAATCTGAAAACTCAGAACTACTATCCTTTATAGCTGCTTTCGGTCTAAATAAGAGGACCTTGACAGATAGCGCTGGACTCTTAAGGGTTGTCCTTTTATTATTGCTATCCACTAGTAAGGGTAATCTGGATACCGGGTTGGCAGCTTCTACATCCCATGGGCCATTTCGGGAACCCACAGATACCACAGACATTCAACAGGGCTGAACAGGGGAAACAATGTATGGACTGAATTTGTTCCATTCTGTTAGTATGTACACGTTTCTTCAGCAGCTAGGTCTAAATACAGCAGTGAAACCAGGATCAGGATGACTTAAAATATTGTGGTGGCTCCCATTTAAAGAATAAAATCGTGCAAAACCTGATGACAAGAGTTTGCAATGGCACCAGAAGCACTGAGAAAACTCTGCCAGATTTGGCTGCCATTGATTACCTCACACTAGATTTTTTCCTGTTGATTGATTTATTGAAATTGCCTGAGAATTCTTGAAATATTTCTTGTTTTTCACTCCACAAATTGTGTAAGCCTACAAATAAACATTCTAATTGATTCATTTTGTACTGTCTAAGGTGTTACAACTGATTAGCGATATCCAGCAAGGGTCCGCTGACAAGTTGAAGTCTCTAATTGCTCTTCGTCATGGACTCCGAAAGAGGGATACACAGCTCTCATTTATCAGGTACCTTCATTTTTTTTTTAGTTGCATTTTAATATGTACATAAGGAGCTTCTTTCACCCTTACTGGCTGATTTGCAAAACAGCTGCCAGACCACAAACTGCAGTCCTGCCAATCAAAGCCAGTTTCTGTCCATATTTTCCCCCATACAACATATTTAAGCCGTGATGAAGGGGGATTGCTCACAAAACCCCCAGAAATGTGTTGGTTGCTGTCTTTTATATGAAATGTTGCTGTGATTAACTTTATCTGGACTGTCATCTACGGTTTAGAGCTACCTTCTTTCATTCTGTATGAGCCAAGTTGCTGTCCTTTGGGCTTTAGAGAGCTGCCTCGGTTCCGGATTGCCTCATTAGGCCAGAATATTCACCTGGAGTCCAGTTCTCCGCCATTTTAACAATATGATCGACATTGACATTTTATCTGACAATTATGGACTTAGTGATGAAGAGATTCATATTAGTACAGACAGATATAAAGACACAGGATCCAAATATTAGGTGTGAGGTGCTGGAGATTTTCAACCAAATCAGCAAAACCACTAACAATTGGGGGCCTCCCTGCTAAAAGGGGTGGTCTACCAAGTCCAGAAATCCACATCTAGTTAGGTCAAATGAGAGTGCTAAATCAGATGATAAGTGTTCAAGTCTTTAATTAAATGTCCTATGACAACCAGAATAGAAACACAGCCAACTTGTTTCAGGGGGCAAAAACATTCCCCTTCATCAGGCTTAGAGAAGGCAAGACTATGGAAGGACTGAGACAGCTGAAATCAGAATTGTGCTGAAATAGACTGGATATCTGTTTATTATTGCATTACTGATGAAATAGCTATCTCCTTGTCTCTTTCATTGGCAATGCAATACTAAATGGCTGTCTAGTCTATTTCAGCACAATTCTGCTTTCAGTTGTCTGGGTCCTTCTATAGTCATGCCTTCTTTTAGCCCTGATGAAATTGATGTTTCGGGCTACAGCAACACATTGACTACTGTATTTGTATTCAGGTTATTATCAGATGTTTAACTAAATACTTGGAACTCCTATCACCTGATTTGGAACTCTCATTTTACCTAACTACATAAAGACACATAATGTCAGACTGACTTGCAGTAAAAGGGTGGCTGACACTGGTAAAATGCCAGGTCACATTGTCATTCATGCTGGGCAAAGTAATGGCACAGGCAAATGCCATAACACAAAAGGATGGAAAAAGAAGTACCAACTCAAGCTGACAGATACTAATGGAGAAACTGATTTGCATAGATACAGAAGATGGATGGATGAGCATAGGCAAACAGACACTGATGTACAGACTGAGTTGAAATTATGTACGTTCTGATGCATTGATGGACAGGAAGCAGAAGCATAATACAGCTGACATTGACCTTGTTAGATCGTACGGAATCAGCAGTGTCAATGAAGAGCAAAGCCTATCTTTTGCTTTATCTTGTATTGTCAATCCCACATTTTACTTACTTACAACAGCAGTAAGTTGTGCCTTTTTAAAGATGAGGTTTTATTTCCTAGTATGGTGTTGTCTAAGCCAGTAGTATAACCTAGTGGCCATCTCCTAACTGTTGTTTTGGATTGATGTGTATTTTCAATTGAGGTGAGAGCATGGTTTGCTGTCCATCTGGTCTGCAATATTGGGGAATGGTCACTAAATTTTGCACTCCATCCTAAAATCCTAAATGAGTGCAAGGAGCTATGTGAGTACCCCTCAGACAATATAGACAAACAACAAAATACATTTCCACACTGAGTGATCAATAAATATGCAATTATGTGAAAACTGATCTTAGTGATCAACCAAATTCACATCAAAACAATCCATAAGTTGGAAGAAATTAAACTAAAAAGTCCCCAAACTGGAGATATTATGCCATCTATACAGTCTACCTTCACTGTGTGAGTAAAGTGCCGTTCTGTGCAAATCTTTACAAGTAGTGCCAAAACAAAAGTGCTCTTCACCTTTACACCTCTATGAAGACGCACTCACCAGATGTGTAGATCCCCTTCAAATTATGACGCTCTTAAGCGCTTGATGAAAAGGTTGGTATTTGATGAAAGGACACCTAGGACCCTTAGGGGGACAGCAGTTGACAAATCTTCCAACCTTTTCATCAAGCACTTAGGACCTTAATTTTAAGGGGTCCTATGCATCTGGTGAGTGTGTCTTTTACATAGAGGTGTGGAGCTGAAGAGCACTTTTGTTTTGGCACTCCTGGTAAAAGATATGAACCTAAGTTTGAGGGCCTGTTCACATCTTCGCTTAGGTGTGCATGGGTCCTTAATTACATGATAAAGGCCAGACGGGCATTGCCCATGTACACTGATTTTTGTGTTCAAGTGCAGCACCTATTGGAAACGTGTTTAAATGCCAAGTGCAGCAAAGACTGTGTTTGGCTCGCGTTGTCTGCAATGAAAACAGCTTTTAATAGAACCTTTTGTGTTCAAAGCAATTTAACACAATGAAAATCAAAATTAGAACACATATGCACACTACAACAATAACGGGAAGTCTAGAGAATGGATAAAGGTGCATACAAAGATCTATTGGTTCTTGCCCAAGTGTTATCTTATCAACATCTATACTTTAAAGGGTAAGTATATTTTTGGTAGGCTGTAGCTTTTGCTATCCCCCTCTGTTCTTATCTAATAAGTCTCTACTTCTACAGCCTTCAGAAGCAGAGTGAACCCAAAGCTAAATACTATGGACTGTCTATGTTTACAGGCCTTTCTAAAGTTGAAAGTATTGACAGCATTACCTATGTGCCCAGGGCCGTCTTTTAATATTGATTGGACCCTGGGCAAACATTTTCTTGGGCCCCGCCCCTAACCACAAAGCCACGCCCTCTACCTGCCATGCAGTTTCTCTCTCCACCCCAACATCCCAAATCAATGTTTTTACATTATATATTTTTTTTATCAGCCCCCTGTCTGCCTAGCAACTGATGATGCAGATGGGCGGGCGGGCCGGCTGGTCTAGGCATGCATGATAGGCTCTGATCCCTGTGCTTTGATAAAAAAAAAGTCCCGATCTTCTGATCTCTGCTGCCTGTCTGCAAGGGGATCAGAGTCTGTTATTGAGCTTGTAATCCCCATGCTCTCCCCCCTCATCCTCCTGCTTTCCCTAATCTCTCCCCCCTAATAAAATTAAAAGCTGCTGCGCTTGGGACACTGAGGTCAAATAGTATATAGATGGGTGTGCAGCGCTCGGGGTCACCAATGGGTGAACTATCAAATGCGTAATTAAGTGTAACCAAAAGAACGTGTAATCAAAAAAATATATAGGTGTTTACAATCGTTATTAACATACTAAAGTAATAGCCAGTGAGTGCGCATCCCAGAGGGGAGTTTTGTCATGTGAGTGCACCAGGGTCTGGTGAGTGCGCATCCCAGAGGGGAGTTTTGTCGTGGACACATGGTGTGGGAGAAAGATTTAAGCTCTTGTTTGAAGCTTTTTTTTCTCATCATCAAGATATCATATATATTTGGACTTTACAACAGTTTGGACTCGGTGATTCATCACTTTTATAGATGACCTTGAGCTGACTTGATGTTTATCACTTTTTATTGATAACCTTTGTATTTGATGCACGTTTTGATTGCAACAAGGAATTTCATAATAAGGCATAATTTATTACACTTTTGCACGAAGTGAAATTTGGTATTTATTATTTCATCGGCTATCACTTTAGTATGTTAATAACGATTGTAAACACCTATATATTTTTACACCCATCTATATACCCCTGCTGTTACTTGCAGACAGGCAGCAGATCGGGAGATCAGTACTTTTGTCTGCTCTGCCTAGCAACTGATGATGTGATGGGTGAGGTACGTAATTATGACAGCCCGCCCATCAGCATCATCAGTTGCTAGGCAGAGCACACAAAGGTTTCCGATCTGCCGATCTCTGCTGTCTGGAGAGATAAGGGAAACCAGGAGGGTGAGGGGAGAGAAGGGACGGGACACTGACATCCCGCATCTCCAGGTAGGGAGCGAGCAGTGCAGGCTCAAGGGGCGGTTGCTTTGGGCCCCACAACAATAACTGGGCCCAGGGCACCTGCCTCTTTTGCCCTGCGTTAAAGACGGGCCTGCATGTGCCAACATGCATCCAAAAGGATAATACAGGCTTTCTCTGTGCAGCAGCCAGGCACAGGTTTGAGCAATGGGGGATCCTCTGTATCTGTGGTCTGTATAACAATAGAATCCTGGATGGTGTGAATACTATTTACATCAAAAGTACACTAGACCTTCAATGTATAGGTGCATTGTAACATAAACCCCTATAATGGCTACCTTAGAGTTGATGAACATTTGAATTGGATAGACCATTGACATATTTATTATATTTATTACAGTAATGATTCGCCCGGGCAAATTAAATATCCGGTTTGTCAGCAGAAAGGATTTAAATTACTTTGATATAAACCTTTCCAAGATGGGGGTCACAAAGAACTATATGACCGCTGGTGACATTTTTTTATATCTTTCATCGTCTGATGAGTATGACAGCACTATACAAAATTTAGAGGTTTAAGAAAGGAATATTGAAAATAAAATATGAAAATGCAAGTTATTAATAAAGGACTGCCAAGAAAATGATCTTACCATCTGATGCTGATCTCATCCATGAAACCTAAGCTGACAGATGAAACTTAAAGTGGACCTTTACCCCCCTTTCACTAAAAATCACAGCAGCATGCAGCTCTGCATGCTGATTTAAAATCATCTTACATTCACTAGTTAAACTTGTTTTTCATTTACTTACAAACAGAGTTCATCCACTTCCTGGCCCAGTTCTAGGATTGCATACTGGGAAGGTTACATCAGTAGAGCATTGCTGTGAAATCTCATCTGTAATGTCATGAGATCTCAGGAAAAGGCATTTTCCTCCCATGAGATAATGTGTATGGTCACATGTCCTAGTCACATGTCTAGTCACATGTGCCAGAGTTCAAGGAAGTAAATGGAGAGTTAGTAACCTGCCCTTAGTAAACATGGCCACTGTCAGAAGACTGCGAAAGAAAAGAGAAATAAGGTATGCAAAGAATACCAAGCTGGCAATTATCTAGAAGTATCTGTTTGTAGATTGCCATTACTAAACATTTATAAACGTGTGTTTGTTGTTATTTTAAAGATATGGGTACAGGTCTACTTTAAAGTGACACTAAACTCAGGAATCAAATCTCAAAAATGCATTAAAGTGCCTTAACTATTAACAAAAATGTATCTTATTTGTGCATCACTCAGCTGTAGATCCTCAAATCATCTCTGAATTGGTGCTGACACTATCCTTCCTTCTGAAGGGTGGCTACTTTTGTTCCCCAGGGTCCCTGTCTGTGTTGGAAAGTAGGCACTGCTCCAAACTTGCTCCCATGATGGACTACAATCTCACGTTTAGTTTACTAATTTGTATTGGTCCGTCACTGGAGTGAGCTTGGAGCGGTGGCTACTTTACAACACACCGGGACCATGGGGAACAAAAGTAGCCACCCTCCAGAAGGAAGGACAGTGTCAGCATGAATTCAGCGATTATTTGAAGATCTACAGCTGAGTGATACATATATAAACTAAATTTTTGTTCATAGTTAAGGTGCTTAAATGCATTTTTATGATTTAACTCCTGAGTTTAGAGTCACTTTAAAATGTATGTCACAGGATGCCTTGACCTTTGGGTTATACTGCCATCTACAGGAGAATTTGGACACAGGAAAAAATGTAGGTCAGCCCAGGATAACTGCCAGGATAACTTTCCTCAGTATACACTCAGGAGGGAAACGGGTTCGACGTACGCGATAAAACGCATAGTTCAACCGATAATATACCACAATGGTTGACGGAAAGCGGAATAGAACAAAGACTTAAAATGCTCAATGCAAATAAAGCAGTTGGACCAGATAACCTTCACCCTAAGGTACTTAGGGAACTCTGCCAGACACGCCCCCCCGCCCGCACGCATGCACGCCCACCTGTGTTTCTGTTTGTGGCTCCCTGGACGGCAGAGCGGACAGCAGCAGCCAGGTAAGACATCCCCCGAAAATAAGACCTAGTGTCTTTTTTCGTGAAAAAAAAAAAATAAGACACTGTCTTATTTTCGGGGAAACACGGTATGTCTTTATTCAACCCCAAATAGTATGTAACTATAACCCCTCCTGTTACCAGCATGCCCCAGTTTTTTTGCTAGTGTCCTAGGAGACTGGACGTGTTTCCTCTGCTCCTCTCCTCAATCAAGATTCTTCTATGTATCACTGCTAGATCTGGTCTCTACGATTGCAGCTATCCAGAGCGGCCTTTCCTCAGCTTAGTTTTGGAGTGCCATGTCCTGACCCTCATGCACTGGGTATCACATAGGACACTTTCTACACCCCATTCTAGTAACAAGTTAGCAGCGGAGAACTTTCCAGGTCCAAAGCTGTTGGTACTTACCTTGTCTCTGAAAACTTACACTGTTAGTAAGCTGATAGGACAGCACTGGGAGCAACCTCATTGGTTAGATTGCTGGGTGCCTTTACATTTTTCTCTTTCTACTGGTTTTTTAGGGGTTACTGCTGAGGAACTGAGTGCAGACATCATCTGCTGGGTGGAATGTCGTGCACTCTCTTTGCCGCCATTCATCATCGAGGGAGCATCTCTCCACTACTGCTCCTGCTTTGCAAGGAGCTATGGAACTCCATTGCCACCAACTGTCTACAGTGACTTTGGCCACCTTTTAGCCATCCAACCCTTATTGGCTACCAGTTGTCTGGGGTTTGTGAGTATCTGACACCCCCTTCACACCAATCCGTACTGGGAACGTGTGTCACTAACGTCGCTTCATGCGTGCTCACACACATTTTCTGCCCGCATTTTCCGTGTGTTCTCTTTGATTCAATGGGTGCCGCATGTGCGACAAACACGGGAAAGTAGCAGATTCGGCTACAGGTGTTGCGTGTTTTCCCGACCGTGTTTGGGGTGCCATCAACAAGTCAAAGCGTGTGCGATTTTACACGCATTTGGCGCACGTTCACAGAACGCCTAGGTGTGAATCGGGATGGTGGCCTTGTCTCATACCCTGAGCTTAGTTGTCTCAACAGCAAGGTCTCAACATGTCTGTATATAGACACAGAGGGGACTGTCGAGCTGCAATGGAAGATCACAGCTCACATTTCCCTAACGGTTCCAGGGACATTAGTTCTGTGCCTCCCGAAGGTAATTACATCTGTGATCTGGAAGCCTTTACCTTATGATTAGGGTGGGTAGGGTCTACCTTGTCATTGCGTCCTCCTTGGCTTAGCTGGGTGAGGCTGAATCCCCTACTTTTTGGACCAGGGTCTCTATTGCAGTACACAAGAAGTACAGTGCAGATCTGTGCACTGTAAAGGTGGCCATACACTGTACAACCATCGCAAGACCTTAGTCTTGCGATGGTTGTAAAGTGATTAAAAAAACATACGATCTGCCCATCTTGGACAGGCAGATCGCACTCTCGATCATCGCAAGCCCGCCCCCCTGAGGGGCGGGCTTCCGATGACCGCAATGCTGAACGGGCAGTGTGCGCGTGCGCAGACCGGCCCGTTCGGCATTTGTCTCCCGAGCACTGTTCAAACCAGCCGAAAATCGTACGATTCTCGGCTGGTTTTCTAACATGCTCCTTAGACAAAAGACGTGCGACCGTACAGTAGAAACGGTCGCACGTCTTCGTTCACACTGTTCGATTCTCGTACGATCGCGGGATTTCCCGCGATTCTCGTACGAGAATCGAGCAGTGTATGGGCACCTTAATGCACTGTGATATATACTGTACAGGCAGCGATTTTGTTCTTGTAAATAAGAACAATATCAATGTCTGATCTTACTGCCAGTGTACAGCTTCACCTGCGTGCTGGCTTTTCTTTCCCCTTGTGTTCATATCCCCCTTTATTTTTCTCCCCTGCTTTGTCTCCCGGTCAGTTTCAAACTGTGTGGCCCTATCCCCAGCTCTGATGTCACTTCCCTCTGCTTTCTCTGGTGACTGCTGGTAAATGAGCAGCATTGTGAGGAACTTCAAGTGTCAGCACTAGGTTTCTCAGTAGAGAGGAGGCTGACTTCATTAGTGTGGGTCCTATACTAGGTTGTATTGCTTTTTACTTACATTTAGTACATGTGTCGCTACCAAGGTGTACCCATCAGGAAGTGACAATTTCTAACTTATGCTAAAACGTATGACCGGGTGATTCAATCCATCTGTAGAGTAGTAGCGTTTTGGTTTAAAAAAAAATAAATAAATATGTGTGTTTTATATAGATTTGATAAATCAATTGCTTGTCATCCTTTCCTCAGGACAGAAGGCAGCATGCGAGTTTTGGTTGGATTGTTCACATGTCAGTTTGCCAAAATCCAGATGGAGGCTGCCAGGTGTCTACATGAACTGTCTCACTCAGATGACCCAGCTGTGTCTAAAGCATGGCTGCCAGCTACCTCCTACCTTCTGACATATTTATCAGGAAGCAGTGCAGAGCTCACGGTATGTATATTTATTGCTCATGATCCATTATTGTACAGAAATATTTATAGCTTACTATTTCAGATATATATCTTTACTATATAAAGATGCAACCTGAAATGATCCACTGCACCATTATATCCAAATGAAAACATCTACCGTTCAGATTGGGTGGACAAGCTTTCAGAGGGTGTGCTTTCTTCTCCATCCAAGCAGTACCCAAAGCTTTTGCAAAATGTTAAGAAACATCTGTAAAAAACACACACAACACAGGGTAATAAAAGTCACAACGTTAGTTTAAAGCGTGTCTTGAAAAAAAAAAAAAAGGGGTCCCAGACAGTACTCAACAGCATTGTTACAGTTGCACTAGTACTGATACAATCACCCTAAACATTATTTCCGCCAAGTTACTGCACATAGATCAATATGCTGTCAATCTAAATTGCTGTGGGAGGTGCTAGGCTGTTCCCCAAAAGAACTATCAATGGTACCAACTGGAGCTGCAACAATTATTCGATTAAGTCGATTAAAATCGACGATGGAAAACGTTGTCAACCTTTCCCATCGTCAATTCGTCGGCTAAAATTCAAATTTCCCGCTCGCCGCTCACGCCACGCCACGCCCACGTCGGTTAAGCCGCTCGCGCCACGCCTACGCCGGTAAACCCGCTCATGCGACGCCACGCCCACCACACACGCTGAGGATGTGCGTCTGGCCCTCTCCTCCCGGTGAGCTTCCCGACTTGCCGCTGCCCGCCGACAACCAACAACGCCGCTGCCCGCCGACAACAACGTCATTCAAGGTAAGTTGAGATCGGCCGTGAGCTTTTCAATGTTTCCTGTTTTTTGTTTTTTTTAAGCGGCACACTGCAGAACATTATCAGCTATAGAGGAACACCAAATCCCAGCAATAATATATTAAACACCCTGTATAATGTAATTTATTATTGCTGGGATTTGTTGTTCCCCTATAGCTGCTAATGTTCTGCAGTGTGCCGGTGTATAATACATTGGTTTTCTGCATTGCATTGTATTGTGCATGGTGTTCTGCATTGTATAATACAGCGACACACTGCAGAACACCAGCAGCTATAGAGGAACAACAAATCCCAGCAATAATATATTAAACACCCTGTATAATATATTATTGCTGGGATTTGTTGTTCCTCTATAGCTGCTGGTGTTCTACAGTGTGCTACTTTTTTTTTTTTTTTAAACAGGAAACATTAAAACAGGTCCCCCTTACCTGTTTCTGAACCCTTGTAAGTCGCTGCAGCGTTCTCTGCGGGCGTGTGTCCGGGTAGTGCGGTGGCCGGGTACGCGGCGTGTGCGCGGTGGGCGTGGCATCTGCGGCGTGCATAGCGTAACTTGTGTATGGAGCCGCGAACAGTTCGCGAACAGGCAGGCGTGAGTGGGAAATTTTAATTTTAGCCGACGAATCGACGATGGAAAACGCTGTCAGATTTTAATCGACTTAATCTAATATTCGACGATGGAAACCGTTGTCAGCGTTTTCCATTGTCGATTAGTCGGCTAAAATTTTAATTTCCCACTCACGCCCGCCTGTTCGCGGCTCCATACACAAGTTACGCTATGCACGCCGCGGACGCCACGCCCACCGTGCACACGCCGTGTACCCGGCCACCGCAGAAGCCGGACACACGCACGCAGAGAACGCCGCCGCTGCAGCGACTGACAAGGGTTCAGAAACAGGTAAGGGGGACCTGTTTTAATGTTTCCTGTTTAAAAAAAAAAAGCGGCACACTGTAGAACACCAGCATCTATAGAGGAACACCAAATCCCAGCAATAATACCCTCAGGGGCAGGGCCTCCTCACCATCTTGTCTTGAATTGTATTGTAATTGTAATGTCTTCCTTATATTGTAAAGCGCTGCGCAAACTGTTGGCGCTATATAAATACTATGTAATAATAATAATATATTAGGCAGCCTGTATAATGTATTATTGCTGGGATTTGTTGTTTCTCTATAACTGGTCAGTGGTAATCTGCATTGCGCAGTATAATCATTATACAGCGCAATGGAGAATACAACCAGCTATAGAGGACTACAAATCCCAGCAATAATACATTATATACAACGCAATGCAGAATACCAGCAGTTATAGAGGACTACAAATCCCAGCAATAGTACATTATAGTATAATGTTGTACTATTGCTGGCATTTGTTGTATTCCTATATAGCTGCTGGTATACTGCATTTCACCGTATAATTATTATACAGCACACTGCAGAATACTACCAGCTATAGAGGACTTCAAATCGCAGCAATAATACATTATATACAGCGCAATGCAGAATAACGCCAGCTACAGAGGACTACAAATCCCAGCAATAGTACATTATAGTATAATGTACTATTGCTACATTCCTCTATAGCTGCTGGTATTCTGCACTGCGCCGCTGTATAATGTACTATATTGCACACCACACTCTTTTTTTACTTCCACCGTGCCAAGCTTGCTCCCGTAATGGACTACAATCTCAATAGAAACTAGTAGTCCTTCACTGGAGCCTTTTTTTTTTTTAATCGAACTTAACAATCGGCTAACTAATCGATTATGAAAATAATCGTTAGCTGCAGCCCTAGTACCAACATCTAAGCAGTTACAAAAGCAGCAAGGGTGACAACCCTGCAGTGATTTCACTGCAGAAGGAAGAGCGTTGTTACCGGCAGGATCAATAGGTTATAGGGGGGGGTCGATGGTGGCGGACCTGCAGGCTTATTACAAGTGATCTCAGCGGCATCGGCGGGATCACTTGTACTAAAACACTGGCTTCCCCGCTGTGCATTTAGCCCTGCTTCCCTGAAGCAGGGCTAAGGGCTTGTTCATGCAATGCAGCCCAGACGCAGTGCAGTGTGTTTTGCCGCGTTTTTGACGGGTTCCGGGCCATTTTTCTCAAAATAAATAGATTTTTTTAATAGCCTAAAATGGGCTTTCAGTGTGTTCCAGGGCGTTTGCTTGCATTTTTGATGCATTTGCATGTGTTCCAGAGCAGGAAAAATAGAGCTTGCTGCAGTTTTTTTTACATGCTCTGGAACTGAACGCTGCAGTGTGAACTAGAGCCCAAAATACCATTGGAATACATTGGATGCAGTTTTGATCCGGTCTGTAACTGCTCCAGGCACTTCCTCAAGACAGTCTGTATGCAGGGAGAGGAGAAAGTGTTGGGTACAGTGCAGTAAGAGTGAGAAAATAGTCCACACAGGCATGCAGAGCTCAGTGCCATCTTTAGTGATGCAGGAAGAGGCAGGGGAGAACATGAGCCTCTACCTGTCTTTTCATAGTAAATCCTTCTTTATTTACTCCCACGTTCATTCAAGAAGAAGGAATTACTATGTAAGGTAGAACAAGGCTCCTGTTGCTGCAGTCTGTGTTATTTCAGTCAGAATAGGAGCCTTGGTCTGACACCCCCTGCCTCTATCCAAAACAAAAAAAAAGTTTTGGCTTTAGGACTCCAAAGTTAAATCTTGAAAATGCATTCAAGTACCTTAACTATTAACAAGAATGTATCTTATTTGTGTATCACTCGGCTGTAGATCCTCAAATCATCTCTGAATTCATGCTGACACTGTCCTTCCTTCAGGGTGGCTACTTTTGTTCCCCATGGTCACTGTGTGTGCTGTAAAGTAGCCACAGCTCCAAGTTCACTCTTGTGATGGACTATAACTTCAGTAGAAATTAGTAAACTAAACGTGAGTTTATAGTCCATCACGGGAGCAAGCTTGGAGCGGTGGCTCCTTTACAACACACACATGGACCATGGGGAACAAAAGTAGCCACCCCCGAGCAGAAAGGACAGTGTCCGCACATAAATCAGAGATGATTTGAGGATCTACAGCTGAGTGATACACAAATACATTACTTTTTTGACAATAGTTACGATTCTTGAATGCATTTTTAAGATTTATCACTTGAGTTTAGTGTCACTTTAACCTGCAAGTGAGCATCACCACCTTTAGGCTGCAGTGGCATCTGTTTAATACTTTAATTGTCAGATGCTAAATAATAACTTTAAAAAAGTTTTTTTTTTGTTTTTCTCAGCCCTTCAAAAAAACAGAACAGAATTTATATTAAAACAGTGTACCAAATAAAAGCTGAATGTGTCCCTAAAAATTTTAAAATATATATAGGAATGCATCTAGGCATTAGTGACTTCTGGTCATGAAAGGGCTAATAAAACATTATTTTGCATGCTTTAGAATCTATAGACTGGCATTGCCTGATCTTATTGAGTCTATTACCGGCAATGACACCCAGAACGTTCCAAATTATTGATTCCCTATTTTTTCCCCATCCGTGAATAGAATGTTGCTTGCATTTTTGGACCTCCCAGCCCTCCAAAAAAAAATTATTACATTAGGTAACACAACAGATGCTTTTCTCCCTCTTCCATAAAACTAATGTTCTCTGTAGGAATAAATTGTTAATGTGCTGGGTGAAACAAATTGTGATTAAACCATTACTTAGTATTTAGGGCTAATTAGGATCTTGTGTAATTCTGCTGATTAAGGACAATGTAGTAGCAGATGAATGTATTCCTGCTGGAGATACAGAGAGGAAGCCTATAGCATGCTAATGGACTGTACAATGCAGGGTCTCTTACATATGAAAAGATTGCAGAAGGTGATCGATGACTTGCTGCATTGCAGCGTGGTATAGTATAGCCGCTATAGCATGTCCCTATACTGGCCTGACAAAGCACATTTAAAGGAGTCCTCACGTCACAGCATATTCTATCCTGTCAAAACATAATTCGCTGGGGTGGAGCTGAAACAACAACTGTGTTTCCACTGGACTTTCCAAATGATAAAAGAAGCAAGCTGGTAATCCAGTCTAATGCTGTCCATCCACATTTTACAATTGTTTCAATGGGCCTTTAAAATCAAATGTATATTAAAAGACTAAATCCACCCAAAATTGATATCCTGAGAAAGTTCAGGGTGGAAGCTAGCAGCGTAAAGTAAAGAGGGCTCAGTACATTATACTATTTGATTGTAACATCTCTGTACAATCTCCTTTAGATTTACCAAAACTATGTGGTAAGAGGAAAAACCTAAATAATCCATTTCATTTGTATGAAATCAGGCAGGCCCTTGCTCTCTATAGTTGAAGATGGATATAAAGGAGATTGTACAAGCAAATGTAGTGTGTATGGCCAGCCAAACAGATGCAGGCTCATGTGAGAGGGCCATTTCATTGCAAGTCCACCAAATAAATTGTTAGTACTTAGCCCTGCTAGCCAGATCATTTGTTTCATTACTTTTCATTGGTGACTAGCAGAGCTGAGTACAAGCAAATAATTGTTCTAACAAACTGTCTCATCTACTCTAAATAGAATGGATTGCTTGAAAAAATGTGATTAGAAAAATCAACTTTTGTTAAAGGGGGGGGGGGGGGGGGCTTGGTTGGGGTCGCTTGGGCGCAT